TTTTTGTATGGTGTTGTGGTGTGGTTGGGTGGGGGGGGGGGGGGGGGGGCATCTGCATAGAACAGAATAAAAGCTGGAAAAATGACTGAAATTTTTTTGTGTGAACCATCCTTTTAAAGGGCTGAATGATTCAAGACAAATTTGGGTGGTCACATAGATTTAATAAGCCTTTGCGATCTGAAAATAGCACTAAGCCATATCATAATATCAATTTTAGTTTGATATATCATGCTGCAATAGTTATGTGTGTCATTTATGTTTGTCCATGAACTGGTGATGTCTTCTTGTCTCGTCAATGTTGTTATAATGTCAAGGCTGTCCAACCATTTGAGATGTTTGATCTCCTCCATAGTGCTTTAAAACAGAATATCCTGTGTAGCATTGAAATAGGTCAGATACATGTTGTGTTGTGTGATCTGATATCAAGGCAAGCCTGATTGAGCAAATGATGTGCTCTGCAGTATCCTATATCTGGAGCACAGTGGTGTGAGCTGCGGTAGTTTGCAAAGCCAGGTTTAATACACACTGATGGGATGAATATTCAGTCAGAGGCAGGTGAATTAGGGGGACCTTCTTGTTCTAGAAAGCATTTCTCCTGAGCATTTTGAGTTTCTGGGTCTGTATAATACTTTTTTATTTTTTTACTTTGGAATGCATCTTCTATAAGCTGATTTAGTCCATGTTTAGAATTACATTAGCCTACAATTATGTTAACAGCAAATAAACATGATTTTGTTTTCATTATGTTTGTATTCCATATGTGTAGTTTGGGCTCATCTTAAAGGGGTAACAGCTGAAATGGATCTGAATGTCCTGAAGTCTTTTGTCAGCTCTAATGTGATAACTTTCGAAAAAAACTCCCTGTGCTTGGTTAAAAATGTCTTATCACTCTTCACACAGCCGAACTGAAGGGGAAGTTTTGTGCTACAGTCGTGTGCCTGTTTGAATGTCCTTATTTGTACAGAGCGCTTATCAGAACAAGTTTAACGCATTTGGTAACATGAACTTTAACGGAAATCACACTGAACAGGACATTTCTAGTGCTGCCCTGCCCTCTGTTTATGTACAACACTGCTTGTTCTTTATTCCTGTTCTTTGAACAAGTGTTTATAGTGGTTCTAGTGCTGTATCTGACCGCTTTACAGCTCTCTGTATAGTGTGTAGTGCTTGTATCTGGGTCATTCTCAGAGTTTTCTCTGCTGATGTGGTAAACAGTCAATTAAAAGTATTTATTAGAAACTTCACAACTTCTTTGCTTTAGTATCGTCTCAAAACACTGATCAGACTAAAGTCAGTGCATTATAACATTCTCTTTAGCTAACCCAAAAATTACATGATGAATTATGTCTTTTTTATTTGAAATCATTTTCATAACAAACTCAAGGGACATGTCTGTAACAATATTTTGAGAATGACCCATATCCTGCATGTAAATGATCTAGAGCATGTGAATATAGTGTGGGTTAGTAGATCTATTTCTGTCATTGTCGTATTACACTAGTAACTCTTCTAGGTAACACTTCTGTGACATTGTAAAAACTGTACAAATACTTTTGAATTTCTAAATCAGCAATCGTCCTTCAGAATACACTGATTAGATGATGTGTCTCGTCAGAACTGGTAAAGTCACTCTAGTGTAACATGTCATAGAATAGAATAGAATTCTTTTGTAATTATGTAATTATTATTTTTGTAATTAATCATTATTTTGCATGTTCAAATTAACATGCATGACAAGAATGCATTTTAAAATATTCAAAAAAGAATAGGGATGCACCGAAATGAAAATTCTTGGCCGAAACCGAACAAAATGAAAATCAGTATGATTTCCGAGTGACACTGGGCCGAAGGCCTAATTCTAATTGTGTCTAATTCTAACGTTTGGTAATATTTCTATTCAAAATCGTGATTCTTCGATTTATAAAAAATAAAATCATGGCAAAACATTCAATTCGAATTAATTGATAAAATTGGAAAAAATTCTCAGCCCTAATGAAACATGAAATTGTCTTTTGCACAACAAGTATCTTAATAAAAGGATTACTGTTTTGAACAACTGTCTAGCAGAAATCACTATGCTCTTAATACTTATAACATGAATCATCTGGTTTGACCTATGCTGGCTCGAGTGCAAGCTGCCATTAAAACGGCCCATACTAAATAGTAAGAAATTCTGAAATTCATTGTCCAATTCAACTTTTTAATCAAATGTTTACTGATAAAATGGATAATTTTAATAATTTGCTATACAGATTTGTTTAATTAGAAAAATAAAAAAATGTCCTTGATTTATGCTACTATGTCTGATTAAGTTAAATAACTTATCTATTTGTGTGTGTGTGTGTGTGTGTGTGTGTGTGTGTGTGTGCTTTTTAATCAAATGTTTACTGATAAAATGGATAATTTTAATAATTTGCTATACAGATTTGTTTAATTAGAAAAATAAAAAAATGTCCTTGATTTATGCTACTATGTCTGATTAAGTTAAATAACTTATCTATTTGTGTGTGTGTGTGTGTGTGTGTGTGTGTGTGTGTGTGTGTGCGTGTGTGTGTGTGTGTGTGTGTGGGGGATGTTG